CTATCAACTGGGTCTCTTTTGTTCGCATAGCTGACATTGTGTTTTGCATGTACGGTCAAGGGCGGTCAAGGGCGGTGTCGTTGTAAAGGAGAGTCTACCCTATTGCGGGTAAAACCATACGGCTATCGCACCGGACATACCCACATCAGTGTTTTCCAAACATTCCTAGCCACCCCTCTCACCCCCCGTCCGTCCCCCCCCCCCCCCCCCACCCCCTCCCCTCCCCAGCCACCTTTCTGACTGAGTCAGCTGCTGGTGACTACGTTCCACCCGGAACTGTCCCACGACCCTCGCAGGGGCCCCAGAATGCGTTGTCTATGACCCACAACGCCGTGACTCGTCGTCTGCGGTTGCTGTTAAAGAACTTCAGCTAAGACACCATGATATGGGTACGGTTACTCAGCTTAAGTTCCTTAACCGCAACCCACTAGCCAAAAAGTGTGTGAGATAGATCAGAGTTTTTCAGCTTCATGTGTACCGAGTCTTCTCTGCACCACGCCCGGCAGCCCGTTGTTAACAGATCCATGTCACAGCTCTATCCTCTCCAACCAAGGCAAGCCATTTCTTAGGTGCTGAGTTTCTGGGCTATCTACCTTGGACCCCTACAGCTGTACCCTTGAGCTTGGGGACCCTCTTCGGGGTCCGAGTACGACTCACTTGGTTTTATATATATATATATATATATAACCTCCCTTAACCCTTAAAGGTGAACCCCCTTTGTCCTGCAGGAATACTCAGCCGGTGCCTACAGCCTAAACCCTCTGAGCGACTAGACGGGACCACAGAAGCATCTAACCCTCAGCCCGAAGCCCTAAACCCCAACCCCAAAATCGTGCTAGGACTCCCTCAATACTTCCTGAGTATTCCCTGAGTAGTCCCTGAAAGCGGTTCAGGGCATGCACCGGCCACAGGCATCCATCAGTACTTCGTCGAGAAGTTCGTGCTGAAATCCTGACTCAACGTTCCAAGAGCCTTCGGCGATGGGACGTAAGAGGGTCCCAGCCAGGATCCCTGGCCCAATCTGTGTCCGACATGGTTTAGGGTTTAGGGTTTAGGGTTTAGGGTTTAGGGTTTAGGGTTTAGGGTTTAGGGTTACTCCTTGCACATGGGCCAAGAGACCATGGTCTGGCTTTTCCCGTGCGCAGAAAGTTCTGTCAGTGCAGCTTAAACATAGGGTGTCTTCGTATTTGGGCAGAGGTCGTACCTGGAGGCTCAGCCACCCTACTTCTTCCCAATTCTCGGGTAAAAAGCACTCCCAGCAATACGATCCCTAAAGCCCTAAACACTAAACCCTAAACCCTAAACCCTGAACCCTAAAGCCTAAAACCCCTAAACAAAACCCACCCTGAACCCTTTTGCTGCTCATGGCCAGGGCTCCTGTGAGCGGTTGCCCTGTCTCATCTGCCGTTGCACGCACGTGGGGCGTTTCCCAAGTGCATGTAGCTCCATGGATCTTGGTTGAGGGGTTATGGTTTAGGGTTTTTGGGGTTTATAGGGTTTAGGGTTTCGGGACCATACTCAGAATCTCTGGATGATTCGTACACAGCATTCCTTCATGAAGCCTTTATGAACGATCTGGGGTGCGGGAGTCGGTCGGTTGTGAACAGATTTCTTGCACCGCGCCAGTCGGTTTAAGAGAAATGCTCCCATTGATCCAGGTGTCATGACCGTATGTTGTTGTACTATCGTATTCTTAGATTGCTGTATGTCAATGCTATTCTGCTCTTCTAGTCTTATAGTCTTATACCAATATAATTTTGTCTCACTGGGGAATTGGGTGCCTTATATCCCCTTATATATACCCCTTAAGGGATCACGTAGGGTATCTCATTCCCTCATCCCCTACTTGGAACCAGTAAGTACAAAGGTTACAGATTTTGAAAGTCGGTTCGGGTCGAGACCCTGGCACCTTCCACGCAGCTACCATGCACTCAATCACATTTTCCGCCAAAACCAATCCGGCTTGGGTGTCTGCGGATGCGCTTAGGGTTTAGGGTTTAGGGTTTGGGGTTTAGGCTTTAGGGTTTGGGGTTAGGGTTTAGGGTTTAGGGCTTAGGGTTTAGGGTTTAGGGGGATGCGTTTGGGTTCGTGGGGTTTAGGCATGCCGAAATATCCATACGAGAAGAACGTAACGAGCCAGGAGGCGTTTTGGAATAAGATTGCCCCCTTAAAATCGTACGCTAGCGAGGCGTGAATAGCAACCCTCCCCATAAGGTTGGGTATCTGTGATATTGATACCCATTTTCCGTGACACCCATTTTCGCGTGGCTCAGACCGAAAGGAGGCGTGGGGCGTTTGATATCGTGGTCTTTGTCCAGAGTTTCTAGAGGGGTCAAGGTTCCCTTATGAAGTGACCAACCCAAAAAAGGGTGCCCTTATTATAAGGGCAAGAACTGATGGGCAGCCATAGAATATCCTTGAGCAGAAGGTGACCCTCCAGGTTAATGCCTAGCTTGGCTGTCAGGCATGTCAAGAAACCTATGAAGCGTTCGTCGTTTTGGATGGCTTGTTGCCGGCATAGAGGCTGGAAGACGTCCGCACAGGGTTGGAGGAGCTGGATGATCTTCTTGACCATTCGTTGCCAATGGTATATCTCCCTATACTCCAAAAAGCACGCGGGGCCACGTGATTCTGTTGTTGCCAGCCCATGTTGGGCAATCTTCTGGTATCTCCACCACTGATGGAAACGGCCCACCCTCGGCCGTTTGGCCCGCCCCTTCGCGCTCCAACGTGGCTTGGAAAAGCAGACCCGCAGGGTTTAATCTCTTCCCCGTAATATTAAACCCCCCCTACCGTTAGATTGCAGTATATTTTTGTGGGGGGGGGGGGGGGTGGGGGATTTATTATTAGGGGAACGGTTTAGGGGTCTTAGGCATTGTCAGAATGGGTGCTTAGTTTAAGCCCCCGCTCGTTCGGCCGACAGGTTTGGCAGGAGCTGTCGTTTGTGAGCATGAATGCTTGAGTATGCCCCATGGGGTCCCATGTGAGGTTGCTTTGGGTGAGTTACATATTCGAGGGGTTTGCACAGGTACAGAAGACCCACAACCCATGCTTCGAACCTATGAAAACACTTACATTGCTGTCACAAGATGAGTCTTGAACACTGGGGACACATTTCCTTAAAAACCCTAAACCCTAAACCCTAAACCCTAAACGCTAAACCCTAAACCCTAAACCCTAAACCCTAAACCCTAAACCCTAAACCCTAAACCCTAAACCCTAAACCCTAAACCCTAAACCCTAAACCCTAAACCCTAAACCCAAACCCTGGCGTTTGAAGCAAGAGGGAGAGCCTGGCAGCCAGGTCATCCCGCAGTCACGCGCTCTTCATTTTGCGGATCACGTTCCCCATCAAGGACCAGGGTTTGGGGTTTAGGGTTTAGGGTTTAGGGTTTAGGGTTTAGGGTTTAGGGTTTAGGGTTTAGGGTTTAGGGTTTAGAGTGTCGGGGGGTTATAAGTACCCCACAGAGCCCTCAAGAGGGTTTAGGGTTAAGGGGCTTACACCTCCTCTTGAACTCAGGAATATCAACCCGAGATCAGGATAAGGAGCCCCGTGTAGAGGTGGAGGTACGGCAGTGGATGCGGGTTGATACGTGTCGTCCGGGCAGGGGGCTTGTACTTCTCTCAGAACAGGAAGCCCCCAGAGGCTCTTAGTTGGTTCCCCAACTACTCCGAAAAGGATCCTGAATTCTTGCTGGGAGGTTTAGGGTATGGGGTTTAGGGTGTGGGGTTTAGGGTTTAGGATTTAGGATTTGGGGTTTAGGGTTTAGGGTTCAGGGTTTAGGGTTTAGGGTTTAGGGCTACTGTTTCGCCACGTACCGTGCAGGATGAGGCGCGCACCCGCATCCGGAACAGCACGCTGGTGCCTGCCTGAGTTCCCAACGAGGTCTGTAAATTCTGGACTAAGATTCTATATCCCTTGGGTTTAGGGGTCTTAGGGTGTAGGGTTTAGGGTTTAGGGTTTAGGTTTAGGGGAGTTTTTTCTTTTTTTGTATAAAACCCAAGAGGATATTATAAATATTATTTATTGAGGTTCTAAGGGGAGTATAGAGATGCCCAGTTCTTGGTACCCTTATCCTAGGGGCGGGGTCCCAGTAAAACTCCAAGAAAAGGCGTCCTTTGTTTCTTGGTTTCCCGCAAACGAGCGTAGGCTTCCTGATTGTGAACTGTAAGGTTTCGTCCTGAATTGCGGGGGAATTGGACTCTTTGTCTCTGGAACCCGCGTTATTCCATGAATGGCCCGAGGTGCGGACAGGGATGTAAGGCTGCATGAGCAATTTGTGGTTAAGGACTTGGTAGCCCGGTGGTACCGTGTTTCCCTTTTGTTGGTTCAAGGTTCCCTCATAAACTGACCAACCCAAAACAAGGGTGCCCTATTATCATGTTGTTACTGGGCTACCAAGACGAGGAAGAAGAATGCAGATGCATACTGCGCACCCTATTGAATCCCTTCAAGGGTATGTTTAGGGGGATATAAGGTGCCTAATTCCCCAGGGCATATTGTGGAACAAGAACATAAGAGTATAAGACTATAAGGGTGTAAGAGCACACTTCCTCGAGTCGCCTCAGCAGCTTGAGCAGTGTCGATAGAAGCTTTTGCGGCCTGAGAGTTCGAGCTCAAGTCCACTAACTTCTGCCTCAACTTTCGGAAGCTTCCGCGGTGCCCACCCTAAACCCTAGTTAAACCCTAAATCCTGAACCGTATAGCCTAAAACCCTAAACCCTAAACTCCTCCCTCCCTCCGCGACGCCAGAATCTTATCGATCTCGCCGGAAGCGAGCGAGTGAAGAAAAGCGGCGCGGCTGGTCGGAGGCTCAAAGGAAGATGTGTAGGTGAGGAAGAGAGCCCTTCATTGTCACTGTTGTTTGAAGCTGGTTTAAAGTTTTGTTGTAGAATACGTATATACATACAGACATAGAGACTTGCTTAACCGTATACAGGTTCCTGCTATCTCTTACTTGACGCGGCCGAGGGGGCAGCCGCAGCTGGCGATCCGCTGTATGCTTCCTAAGGTCAGAGGATGCGCGAGGGCCGGAACATCAACAGCTCGCTGAGTGTCCTTGGGCAGGCCGAAGCAGACCCGGGGCCGAAGAAAACACTGCGTAGGTTCCCGTATAAGCTCCTTTAGACCAAAAGAAGGGCACCTGTTTTACTCCTAGGTTTCTGTTGGGTCTAGACAAAGTGAGCCCTTGGTAGCTGAGTAGGTAGCCCTCACCCTTTTAGGGCATGTATAGTCCTACCGTTTTTGAACCTGTCACTTCGTTTGGCCTAGGGTACTCCGCAACTATGAGCCTCACATCAACAGGTCATCTCGAAGCTGGCCCAGGGCAAGTTCAAGCACGTGCCCTTCAGGCGCCACAGAGGGAGAGCATTCCCGCGAGCCCTGAGTCGCCTCCCTCCCCCCTCCCCCCTAGCGCTTTTTTTAGGGGGTTTATAGGGACTACATCATCATACAGGGTTGCTTATCTTGTGTGTCTTATTCCATGTTCTCAATTGTCGCATAGCAGTCGGCCTTGCCCAGAGCCGCCGGATGCTTCGCCCCAGAACCTCGAGTCAACTCATGCTTCCAGTCTCCCAAACCTTGTATGGTCCCCCCCCCCATACATAAGTAACCCCTAATTCGCCCCTACATTACACCTAAGGTCCCTTCTTAGGTCCCTCCTTTAGGTCTTTGAGTTTAGGGTTTGGGATTCGCGTCTTGTAGCAGAATGCTCAGCAACTAGATAGTTATACAAGCACTCCAGAAGCAACAATCCTGGTAAGATGTGCGTGCGCGTTGGTGTCCCATAAAAGGCAAAGCAAGCTGACCTATCTTCTGACGGACGCGCTGAACGGCAACAGCAAGACTCACATGGCCGGCAGCTGAGAATATAGGGACTTATGAATTAGAACAGGGGGGTTACTAGAATTATAAAGGGACCACAAGGGAACACTATTCGTGATTCTTCCGACCCCTGTATTACGTGTGAGAGAGCCTTGATTTGTATAAGCGTGCCTTGTTTGCTTGCCTCACCTGCGGCTTCGCTTGCTTTCCAGTAACGTGGTGGAAGCTGCATGCAAGCCCAAAAGCCTAAACCCGAAACCCTGGATTGCACAGATGGTGTCTCAGCAGTGTTGATGTTTTGCCACTGAAATTTCCGAAAGCGTGTGGTTGCCAATCGGAACCCATGCTTTTCCCAGTTGACCGCCTGTGAGGTTGCAGCAATCTCGCCAGCGCTCTCCGAGATGGAGGACGCTCATCACAGCATCCTTCCAGTCAGTCATTACATGGTTTAGGGTTTAGGGTTTAGGGTTTAGGGTTTATTCTGCGATGAGAGGAGACACTTGGGACGCTTCGTTTCGCGAGCTCTGTCAAGAAGGCCTGCTCAGAATCAGATTCACTTGGTCAAGTCGTTCTGGATCTCTGTCGACAGCGCTTCGCAGTGCTTTTGGCGTCTCGTTCTCTGTCATCTCTGAGTACCTGTTCTGCATAAACCAGACATACACTAAACCCTGAACCCTAAACCCTAAACCCTAAACAGAACTGCAACAGCGGGGCGCACCATGAGAGGTGCGCACCCACGCCGTGTCGAACGAGCAGGAGCCATGGAGGGCAGAGCGGGATGAGCAAGGCGTAGGAACTTGACATTTTACAACGGAACCCTAACCCCTATTTCCCCCTTGGAAATTCTTTCTTTTTTTGTTCATATAAGACCCAAGAGCATACTTAAAATATCTTTTATAAAGGTTGAAAGGGAGTATAGTAACCCCTACATCCGAGGATTCCCATTGCTAAGGGTACCTAGAAAGTGCACGCCTGCTTATTCACAGATACTGGGGAACCTTGCTGAAAACCCAAAGTTTTTAGGAATCTCATATCTCCAAACCCTAAACCCTAAACCCTTGTGACTTTTTGGATACTGGGAAGACCACCCTCTTCCTTCGAAGGACGTCGGGGAGAGCGACCTCCTTCTACAGACCATGCGCTCTGAGGCCGAGAGGGGGTGGAGAGCGTTGGGATTCTTAGGGTTTAGGGTTTACGGTTTAGGGTTTAGGGATTAGGGTTTAGGGTTTAGGGGAACCTCATGCCACGCGGAGTTGAGTGCGTTAGGACTACTTCAGGGGGTAGACCCCAAACCCTAAACCCTCAAACCTCAAATCCTAAAGCCTACGACCAACACAAGAGAACGCAATCAATGAACGCAGAGAACCATACACTTGATCAAAGGGAAAGTAGAGCTCCGCCCCCCCCCCACAAAAAAAGGCTCCAAAACCCTGAGCCCTAAACCCTAAACCCTAAACCCTAAACCCTAAACCCTAAACCCTAAACCCTAAACCCTAAACCCTAAACCCCCCCCCCCGCCCCCGTTTGCAAAGATGACTCTCCGACAGGCTGAGGAGTTGAAGGCCGCAGCGATCAAGGCCCGCGAGGAGAGCCCGCAGCAGGTGTGGCTAGGGGGGGGAAGGGTTTAGGGTTTAGGGTTTAGGGTTTAGGGTTTAGGGTTTAGGGTTTAGGGGTTTAGGGGTTTAGGGGTTTAGGGTTGTTGGGGTTGGGGGGTTTTGGATTGTTTTTGGCTTTTGGGGCCTTGGGTTTTTTGTGGTTTTGGGGTTTTGGGGTTTTATGTTATTCTTTTTGTTTTTTGTTTGGGCGGCCGGGGGGGGGGGGGAGTTGTTATCTCCCTTGAAGGGTTAAAAGGTTCCAGGACATTTTTAGTGTTGGGGGTTTCAGTCTATCGCTTGTGTCCCTGAAAGGGTTTGAGGGCTCAGGCGGGCTTGTTCATATCCATTAAAGGGTTCAGGGCTTCAGGGTTCAGGGGTTTTAGGGTTGAGCGGTTTAGGGTTTTAGGGTTTTAGGGTTCGCCTTTAGGGGGATGAGATAGGTACCTTATTCGCCAATTCCCTAGAAAGATTAGTCAGATAAGTTACTACACCCCCCAGTGGTCCATCTCCGTTGTTTTTTGGGTTCGGTCCATTGTGAGCCCTACGAAACAACCAAGGGCATCATTCTTGTTCCTAGTACTCGTGGTTTGTGGTTCCATGGAGACTTTGTGATGATGGTCTCGGGTTCTAGGGCTTTAGGTTGGTATGCTCCACTTATACTAACAGTCTTTACTAGGGATTATGGTCCCCCCTCCCTGTTTACAATCCCTATTACGGACTGTTAGTATTGGGGGGAACACCCCAAGCTTTACGGTTTCGTAGGCCTCCGGTGTGCACAGCACATGTCGCATCCACCTGCCCATCTGTTTCAGTCATAGCCGGAGAGCCCCATACCGCAACTTAAGGCCCATATTGGACTCTAAACTTAAATCCTAAACCCTAAACCTTAAACCCTAGACCCTAAATCCTGAACCCTAACTCTCTTAGAAGGACTCTCTTTAAAGTAGCTGTCGATATCACCAGGCGAGGCGTCTTGAGATCCACGCTGAAGCCGTTGAGCACGCGGTTTCTGCCTCATCGTCAAGCATTCGTTGGGTTCAGGGTTAAGCGGAAAATATGGGGGGTCGGAATGAACTACTACTAATGTTCCCTTATGGTCCCTTTATCACTATACTATAAACCCCCCCCCCAGCTTAAAAAAAATAATATTATAAAAAAACTGTGCTAATAACAATGTTCTCTTATGGTCCCTTTATATATAGCGACCCCGCCCCCCCCCCCCCCCCCCCCCCGCCCCCCCCAACAAAGAAAAAAATAAATGTGCTAATTATTCGGGCTCCTACATGAATCCGAGACCTCGAGGGGCTCATAAGCAGGTTGCCATGGCATGGAGCCTCGCCTTCGGTGCACAGTTTAGGGTTTAGGGTTTAGGGTTTAGGGTTCAGGGTTTAGGGTTTAGGGTTTAGGGCTTTCTTACAATCCCCAGGAATTCCAGGGCTTGAGCCTCACACTCTCTCAGCCGAGGTGATCAGCATGCAGACCCGGATCGACAAGACGATGTGGTCGCAGGCAGGGCCGGAAGACTCCGCGGCCCCAAGCTCGGGAGCCACAACTACTCTTTGCTTAAGAACGCCAAAAAATATGTAGAATATTCCCTCGAACATTCCCTCGTTTACCCTTATCAGGAGGATTTTTTTTTTTTTTTTTTTTGGGGGGGGGGGTTCTTAAGCAATTCGTGGAGTTGCGCTTGAGTGTTAGAGCTTGGAGGCGCAACGTACCCCTTAGTTAAGGGATGGAATGGACCCTAAACCCTAAACCCTAAAAACCTAAACCCTAAACCCTAAAAACCTAAACCCTAAACCCTAAAAACCTAAACCCTAAACCCTAAACCCTAAAAACCTAAGCCCTAAGTCAGGGCTGTTGAGGGTTTTGGGTTGAAGGTGTTTTTCCCGCTATGACGTACTAGGGCTGTTTAGGATTTAGGGTGAAAGGTGTTTTCCCCAATGGTGGGAATTCGGCGGCCTCTATTTTCACCTTACCATAGGGGTCGGAATGGTTCCTGTAAAGTTCTACTACAATAGCCCCCAAAAAACCCACTCTAATTCTTAGGTGCTGGGTGGGTAACCTCTACCCTTATTGGGGTAGTTTAAAACTTTAAACCCAAAGGTTAACCTTTTTTCTTCAAGGGAACTCAGCGCGTAAGAATTATTCTGGCAGGCCCAGCAGGCGCAGCAGGAGGCGACACGGCAGGCAGCCCCCCCGAACACATCTGTGGGCTGATCTCACTTGTGGACCCTTCGGGCCTCCATCATGCTGTACTGTATACATATCTTTACTTCTTGGCATCCGTTATTATCATAGAAATGTATATATATATATACATATTTATTTATATTTATATTTATATTCATATTTATATTTATATACATATACATATACATATGCATATACTCCTTGCAGTCTCTGACTACTGATATGCCCCCTGATCAGAAGGAATAGACCAATTGGGGTGAGGACTTGGCACCTTGGCTCAGGCCCTGGCAGGCCTGAGCCTGCCATTTGCCATTGGCGGCATGCTCGGAGGCCTCCTTTCTACTGGGTTTTTAGGGTTTTAGGGTGTTAGTTTAGGGTGTAGGGTTTAGGGTTTAGGGTTTTATTGCTGGTCTCCTGTTATGTTGTGCTTATTTGTATTGCGTGTTTTGGTTGCTGTATTCTATTCTTTCTGTATTTCTTTGCCTTGTTCTTAGTTACATAGTCCCATAGCCCTTAATTTAGGATTATTCCTTGACTCATACTAGGGATCCCTATATAGCTCTTCCAAGGGTTCCAAAGTATGGGCTGCTGGGTTTTACAGGGTACCCTAAACCCTAAACCCGAAACCCTAAACCCTAAACCGAGGGTTCATCAGCCTTGGCCTCGGAGAGGTCAGTCGCAGGACGGCTTGACTGCGAATTCGCCGGCTTCCCAAGTCGACTGGATGTGAAGGCTAGGGTTTAGGGTCTAGGGCTTAGAGCTTACGGCTTAGGGCCTAGGGCCTAGGGCCTCGGGCTTCTGCTATTTTGGGGGTCTCAGCCCAAAGACTCCTGTGTTCCTTAGTTGAGGAATAATTTGGTGGTTTGTGAAATGAGGGGTACTTTATTGGGGTCCTGATTTAAAAGGGATCCGTGCCCTTGCTATCCAGTTAGCAACTGCGCGTATAAGCATTCCTTTCAGAGACAATGTTATCTACAGATTTCGGGTTCAGGCTTTGAGGTTTAGAGTAGATTTTCGGGCTTCTAGGCTCTTCCGGGCATGAATGAGAAAAGACGCGTATGCTCTGAAGCAAGCTTGCACGACTTTAAACAGCCCCCCCCCCCCCCATTTGCACACACAATGCTGGCGTCATGGTTTTCCAACCTTTGCATGCGCTTTGAAGCAAGCTTAACAACGCGGGGGGGGGGGGGGGTTGGGGGGGCGCAGGCCCCCCCATGTGCACGCACACACACACACACATGCTGGCATCTGGTTTTCCAACATATACGTGCTCTGAAGCAAGCTGGCACGACGTAAAAAAGCGCGGGCTTATGGGGGGGGGGGGGGGGGGGTGGTGGGGGGGGGGGGGGGGGGGGGGGGGGGGGCACCAATGATGGCATCATGGTTTTCAACCTTTACATGTCCTTTGAAGCAAGCTTGCACGGGTTGAAAAAAGGGGGGTTGGGGAGGTCGGGGCAATGGGGGGGGGGGCCAGCCCCCCCCCCCCCCATTTGCGCACACACTGCTGGCATCAGGGTTTTCAAACATATATGTGTGCTTTGAAGCAAGCTTGCGCGGCTTTAAAAACCGGGGGGGGGGGGGCATTTGCACACATAATGCTGGCATCATGGTTTTCCAAAGTATCCGTGTTCTTTGAGGCAAGCTTGCACGACTAAAAAAGGTGGGGGGGGGGGGGGGCGGGCGCAACCCCCCATTTGCACACGCAAGGCTGGCGTCGTGGTTTTCAAACATATACGTGTGCTTTGAAGAAAGCTTTCGCGACTTAAGAAAGCAGGGAGGGACGCGGGCAAGCATGGGAGAATTAAAAAAGCAAGGGGTTGGAATGCTGTAAACAGCATATCCTCAGTCTTCCATCAGGGGTTTGCGGGAGAAGTCTAAAAAACTGGCGTTTTTGTACCGACACCTTTTCCAGCACAAAAATCCACAAATGCTTCCCTTCTGAGGGGAATAGCCGCTGTCAGAACAGAACGTCCACATGTCAAACATCCAATTCACGAATTCGACGCGCCACATTGTGCGGATCCGGAAATGTGCCAAGCCACAAAAGTACGCGCCTGCGCAGTCCAAACGACGTTGCCTCGGATTCTGCCCCATGTGGCGCGGGCAAACCAGCCCTTCTCACCGTAATACTGCAATGTAAAAAAAATATCCCTTAATCCTACTAAGGAGTTTTGATCTAATCCAATTTCAATTCAACTTTTCCAGATGTTATATTGTTCAACATCTTAACAGTTTTGCTTATGCTTCCATATGGTTGATAACATCTCAGATATATTAACCAAGGGTTTAGAATCATAATATTGAAAATTCATTTTTTGTATTCTATCTGCGATTGTATACAGACTTATCAATTGCATTAAAAGTATAATGCCAATAAGAAGCATAGCATAAACAGATGGTTTACAATGTTATAAAAATCATGTGTATTGTAAGGTCAGATATCTTTAAAATGAGAGTAACTATAAACAAAGTTTCTTTGGTATGAATGGCTGGCAAAGAAAGATATGGCAAATCTCAACATCGTAGATACACGCATTGCAAACATAATTTTTTCCAAGTATTAACAAGATATGTCATTTCTTTAAATTGTGAAAAATGTTCTTGCTAATAAATAGAAATTACTATCTCATTGCACTATTATAATTTCAGTCAATAAAAACTATTTTCCTAAACAAAAACTTGCAATGAACTGGTAGTAAGTATGAAATATCACGAAAGCTATGTTTCGATGATTTTACATTCGCGAACAAATAGCAACATTTTCCATATATTGTGTTTTCAACACCTTAATTTCAATTATAAGCTTTTACCGGTTCAAGACGACTTGACAATTAAATCAAATAGCGAAAAAGATACTTGTAATCTAAATAGCTTTTCTCTCAACATGATATTCTGAAAAACGAAAACATACAGTGTTGTTATAATATTGTTGCGAAATGCAGTTCTATAGATTTTTGTGTATATTACTAACGAAATATACTAAACTTACATGTATGGGCGTTGTCCGCAAACCACTGTCTTTTTTTCATGGCGAATATTTTATGTAGATTTCTGCTTGTTTTTAGTGTACGCGAAAGCCCCGCGAAAGCGCGGCGGAAGGGGCCGCGAAAAGGAAAATCTGGTTGATAGATATCATGCCCTTTAACCCTCAGACCCCAAAGCGAGTGCGTTTAGCGACCCCCCCTAATCGCACCTAGTTTCAGCTTATTTGGGGTTCATACTGATAGAATATCCTGCCCCTTAACCCTCAAACCCCAATGCGAGTGCGTTTAGGGACCGCGCCTAAACGCACCCATTGTGTAGGTTTCAGGTTATTTGGGGTTGATACATACTTTGTTTTGCTCCCCGACGAGTGCGTTTCAAACGCACCCATATGGGGCTTTGGGGGGTTTTATGCCTGATGCTTGAAAGCATTCACTTTGTTTCTTCTAGTGGCGGACGGTGGTGGTGGCAATGGGGCTGGGGAGGAGATCAGGGGCAAAGGGCGTTTTGGAAGGCTTCAAAAATGCACACTGATCCCTGTCGAGTGCAAAAAAGCGCAGGCTTTAGCACGTGCTGGAGAGCAAGATCTCCGCGACTGACCGCGAAAGCGCTCCCTGATTGCACGCGAAAGGTCCGCGAAAGGAACGCGATTGGGCGACAGGTCCTGGAAAGGTATTGGCCAGCCGTGCTTCCAACTTCCATTAAATGTGGTTGATAGAATATCATGCCCCTTAACCCTCAAACCGGAAACGAGTGCGTTTACGGACCGCCCCTAAACGCACCTATTGTGCAGGTTTCAGCCTATTTGGGGTTCGTACTGATGGACTCTCATGCCCGTGCAAACGCACCCGTAGTGCAGGTTTCAGTATGAACCCAAAATAGGCCGAAACCTGCACAATGGGTGCGTTTAGGCGCGGTCCCTAAACGCACTCGCATTGGGGCTTGAGGGTTAAGGGGCGGGATATTCTATCAGTATGAACCCCAAATAGGCTGAAACCTGCACAATGGGTGCGTTTAGATGCGGCCCCGAAACGCACTCGCATTGGGGCTTGAGGCTTAAGGGGCAGGATGTTGTGAACACCTTCATTCCAACTGTTAGGTTTTACCGGTTCAAGATGAAACGATGTATAAGCCAAATAGCGAAAAAGGTATTTCTAATAGAAATAGTTTTGTCTAAACATGATATTCTGAAAAACGAAAACATACGCTTTGTTTTCAATATTTGTTTAATCTTACAACGCTAACAAAGTGAAAGATAAGCAGAAAGTTCTCTTCATTGCATTTTGACTTTAACGTAGCCATTTTGGCTCAAGCTCAACACCAGAGCAAGCAGTTCGTATCTAGAAGAATCGGAGGCGCACATGTGTTATCACGACCACCTTGCTTGATTTGTGCTTACCCCTTCCGTGCGGAGGAGACGCTGGAGACTACTGCATCATCGACAGAGGCCTGACCTTCCCCACACAAGGAAAATCTGTTGGCAGCTTTCGAGAGGTGGGGACAGCCCCACCTTCACCCACACTGTGAGCTCGGGTGTCATCAAACGTCAATGTGTGAAGCTTCAAACTTCCAATCTCGCGTATCCTCAATCTCAAATGTTCAAACTCCAGGTCGTTTGTCTTTTCCGTTCCTCGAAGTTTCAGATTCTCAAGCTCCAGATCAACTGTCACTTTCACGTTTGAAACTTTCCGAGAATTTGAAACAAACAACGTACTCGTGACACCTATCCAAATCACGGGTGGTTCCGGAGCTTGGAGGAGGTTTCTAGAAAGGTTTCTTGGGGTCCCAGGCGGTTGCGCAGAAGTAGGAAATTCAATGCCTCGAGAGTGATGGGTGGCGCCGGCAGGGCTTCGATGTGTCACCAATCGCTGCCGAGCCACAGTGGCAGGGTGAGGCGCTGTGTCTGCCCGATTTATACCTTTGCCTGTCTTTGTAGATGTGTAATCGTACCGTAAGACGTATAATCCCAGCAATCTGCAGGAGCTGAGCCCCTCGCTGGAGGAGAAGGTGGAGGTGACGCCTGGGGGCTTCACAAGGGCTTTATAGATGACAACCTCAAGAAGAAGTTTTTGGATCATAAATCTACAGTCCGCAGAGCAACTCACCCTTCCTCCACCCCTCTGATCTCAAATGGCAGGCCCGTGTCCCCACAACCCAAGACTGCCTGAACCCGAACGCAGGCCGTCCTTCTGATTCGGGGAAGCCGGAAGCGGCGACCCGAATCGCCAACGGGGCCTCGCCTCCCGCGGGAAGCCGGAAGCGGCGACCCGAATCGCCAACGGGGCCTCGCCTCCCGCGGGGCGCCCTGAGGGGGAGGCCGGGTCTCCACGTTTCCATGCTGAGATGCCTTCGAGCACAGAGTTTTCAAAAAATTGTACTGAGTTCAGAGTAAGTATGAAATGTATGAAAACAGTGTGTCGATTGCTTTATATTCATGAATGAGTACTAACATTTCCATATGTATATATATATATATATACTAACACCTTCATTCCAACAGTTAGCCTTTACCGGTTCAAGATGAAATGATATATAAACCAAATAGTGAGAAAAAGGTGTTTCTAATACACATAGCTTTTTCTAAACATGATATTCTGAAAAACAAAACCATTCAGTTTGTTTTCAATATTGCTGCAAAATGTAATTCTATAGATTCTTCATCTTGTTAGAGATATACACATATATATATATATATATATATACGCAATACAGTTTTTAAGTAATAATGCAACACTTCCAAACTACAATAAGCAGAATGTTCTCTTCATTGCATGTTGACGTTTCACGTCGCCCTTTTGGCTCAAGCTCAGCACCAGAGCAAGCAAGTCGTATCTAGAAGAATCGGAGGGGGTCAAGGCCAAGGCGCAGGGTTCACGGTTGGGCCTTTTCACTGCAAACGGGACCCTAGTTGAGAGAACTACCCACATACCATAGTCATGGGCCTAATATGACCCCTTGAACGATGCCAAAGAGCCCAAGCAATCTGTGTGGGCTAGCTGTAAGCAACGGGGACGGGTTTGCAGTCAGGTTCTACTGAACTGTTCTGGCGCCTTTAGCTTCTCTCACTTTCTTTGAACGGATTCCCGAGCGCAACAACCCTTTAGGCCCTACACGAACAGCTAACATCAATCCACCTTGAGCCTCAAACCTCGAAGCTATCTCTTCCCCAGGTGTCGGCATGCAACTCAGACCTCGGGGATCTCCGAACATCTCAACATCCAGCACTGCCATGGAGTTCCCACAAATCGCCAGGAGTGCGTGCTAGCCACTACTAGTCCTCTACCCTTGACGCTTGCAGAACGGCCCCAATTCTGAGGTTTTTTCCCACGCCACGCAGCCCGCCCAGCATCAGCTGCCCGGGGCCCCTCTACCAACAGCCAGCCAGGCAGACCTCAGCTGCTGCAACGAGAGGCAAGTGGACTCTCTGCAGCCCCCAGACAAGAAGCCGCTTAACCGCAAGCAGCATGGGTACTTATGCAACTCAGACCTCGAGGATTTCCAGACATCTCAGCATCACCACTGTGCAACTGCACCGCTGCGTCCAAAAGATTGCGCGCGTCTCGGGCATAGCCATGACGATTGAAATCCACGACGATGAGGAGCTTTATGTCTTTCTGCCCCCAGCTTGTCTTTGTTAAGTCCTGCAAGAGCACAGCAGCACCCTTCGGGCGACTCCTGCATGCCTGAGGGAAGGAAGCATGCGGCCTCGGACTGGCCTCTGACTGGCCCCTAAACCCTAGACGCCATGTGGTGGGCTTCTTTTTTGGAAGACCCGGACGGGGTCCTGGAGGCCAAGCCCAGGGTGCAGGGTTCACGGTTGGGCCCACTCCTGGGTCGCCCATGGAGCTTTAGGGAGTTTTGGGTTTAGGGTTTGGGGAGTTTCAGCACTTGGGGGTTTTAGGGTTGAGGTCAGGGTTTTGAGGAAGTTCAGTGTTTGGTAGGGAATTTGGAGAGTTCGGAGTTTAGGGATTGAGGGAGAGGTAGTCCTGAGCGTTTGAGGGGTGAAGGAAAATCAACACACTAAGCATACGATTGATAATGTTAATAGTGACAACACAAAATTAAATCAAATAAAACATACATACTGTAAGAACTGGGCTCATGAACAAAGCAAAATAAGGAAGTACAAAAGATTACATTCACTCATTTGAATACAATGAGAAAATATATCAAGTATAAGAAGTAAGAGTTATCAAATTGGCAATGGAAGAAAGATGTACAATGTAAATGATGATAATGATGAGAAAGCAGCCCATGGTATATTAAAGGATGATATGAAACTGAACACAATAAATCATCTCTTAAATATTACTAAAAAATCTGTGATAATGATGACGGTCATGATGATGATATGAATATGCACGATAATGACAATGATAACCGTAATGATGATGAAGATAATAACTGGTATCATTGATGCTCAAAACTGAGATGAATTACCTAGACCAAATAGAAGAATATTGCAGAAACCGAAAAAGATATTAACAATATGAAAATGCATCAACAATTGAAAAAGTCAATTTAAACAAATATGAGATTGCGAAAAGGTTTGAAACTAAATGAAGTAAATCACAGAATTACAGACAAGAAATGGATTGCCTTCCTTTGTTGTATATGTACATATATATCATTTTCAAGATGCATTTTTTGTCCTAACATAATATTGTCTTTGACTGTATTGTTTTGTTCGTTTGAATGATTCTGTTCCACCCATAAGTATTGAATATCAGGTAGTATTCGTATTCCTATGTTTATTTGATATGTCTATACTTGAACAAAAGATTCTTACCTGTACTATTATGTCATATCCAATATTCACAGATGAAATGTAACATTTTTTGACATAGTCTTAATAGGAATCTTACACGTGAATATCATGAAGTTGATATTGTTGAAATCCATGATATGTATATCACAAATTATGAAATTGTCATGATTGATTTATAGCAAGACCTAGGAAATACGTAGTACATTAACATACAAAGGAATGACAAAAGCAATCACCACCACCGGATCCCAAACCTAACGTTCCTAAACCTTAGATCATAAAACCTTAATCCCTAAACCTTAACTCCCTAAGCCCTAAATCCCTAAGCCCTAAACCCAACATCCTGACCGAGGCCCTACTTGCTCAACATCTCGGACGACATCTCTCTCGCTGGCAGGCCTTACGTTTGCTCACTGCCCAGGGAGCCCCAGGAGCCCAACATAGTTAGGGCTTAGGGTTCAGGATGTGAGTTAAGAAGTATACCTGAACATGTTCGTAAAGAAGTATACCCCTAAAAAACTGTCGTAAGGGTCTAGGCTTAGGGCTTAGGGTTTAAGCAGTATAGGTCCTGAGTCCTGATCATCAAGTAAGGTGCATTCTTGACTTGCGGGGCATCAAGCTCTCTCAGTGCGTTGTTGCCATCACCGTTCGATACACCAGAAACACCCCACCTCCCTTTCCGCCGCCACTGTCTCCAGTGATATGGCATCTACGGATCTCCCCACCAACTGGGAGTTGAAATGTATTTGCCACAGTAAGTACAGGATATTGTAATCTGAGGTGCATATGTGTATATTGGGGGCGGCGAACATGCAATAGATATAGATGTAGACATATACATCTATGTGCTACCCCCCCCCCCGCCAAAGATCTATACATGTCCATGGTTTGGCGATGTGAAAGTGGGGATTTGCATGAGGGATCCCCATCCCTAAATCCTAAAGAGGAGTCTAAGAGGAGTTTTAGCAACCTCACGGGGCTGGAATCTTAGTCGCTAATCCTAAACGCGCATAAGATTTAAGAAGAGGATTTGGGAAGCAAGATATAAGGAAAAAGACTCCGAGCCCCGAATCGGAAAATGAGGTGGTCAGTTCTGCCACCAAAAAATTTGCAGAATCATTTTCGGAGTCGGCCCGTTTTTGCCCAAGTCGGGCCTTAAATCTAATCCTAAACGAACAGGATCTAGGAATAGGATCTAGGGAGTAAAGCTTATAGGACTACCGGAATTTTTTAGGGAACAAGATTTTGGATCCCATTGTTGAGGGCTTAGCGAAAAAGATTTTGGGAATAAGGTTTGTTTTTTAGGGTTCATGGGCTCTTCTCTTTAGGATTTAGGTCCCCCCCCCCCCCGGTTTAGGGAACAGCAGTTAGGGAGTCATTAAATATGTGGAGTATTTCAGCAAAACCAGAATAAGATTTGGGGATACAAGGTTTTGGGAATAAGGTTCATTCATTCCGGGGAACTCTCCCCGGAGCATCCTCAATCCGAGACCCATGCCGACTAAGCACTTAATCTGCTTAATCAGCCCAAGACTGAAGATTCAAGATTGAAGATGCTCTGGGAAAGTTCCCGGGCATCTTCAATCTTAAATCTTCAATCCCGGTGCCGATTAAGCAGGCCGAGAGCTAAATCGGCCCTGGGGTCAAAGGTTCAATATTTCAGATGCTCTGAGGCATTTTTCTGTAACATCTTCAAGCCCTTTCCAAAGACCAATATGTGTTAGTGTTTTGGGCTGTCTACCACTGTCGGTTGGGTATGTGGAGTGGCCAAAACACTAAAAACTATAGATCTTGGGGGGGGCGGGGGGTGATTATATATATATATATATATATACATACATACATAAATACATACATGTATACATACACATATTCTTATTTCTAGGGATCGACAGAGACTCTCGGGGCTCAACCCTCCAAACCCTGCCAAATCTGAGCACAGGCTTCTCTACTTTCTCCCGGAGGGCCCGCCCATCAGCGTGGGATCGGGGGTCTGGGCCCCGGTTTCGATGAGCACAGAACAGCAGATTGGTTTTGGGTTTAGGGTTCAGCGCTTAGGGTAAGACCCACTTGAAGTCAAGTCGAAGTTTTCCTGTTTCAAGTTTCGGACGTCCTTCCGAGCCTTCCTACATGGGCAGCAGCCGCACAAAGGTCTTTCTTTCTGACGTCTAGAACGAATCGTTCCATAGCTGTCCTCAATGCCGAAGATAGGAAAGGGCGCTTTGGGGTCACGGCATAGGGGCTTGCATCAAAATGTCAGGAGAACAACCGAATCCGCCTCATGGGATTGGGAATTCCCGATCGGCTATGCGACATCTCCGTCGTCGCAGGCGCAACATGTGACACCACAGCGCCAGCCTCCCCAAACGAAGGCGTCACTAGCCTGTCCTCCTCCGAGCCAACTGGCTGCGTGAGGCCTTGTCGCTTCGAAGTAGTGAGCTGAGAACCCTCCAACATGCATGGCAGGTGGAAAGGGCGTCGAGGCCCGGCAGGGACACTGGATGGCATGGAATGCACTGTGCAAGTAGCGCGGGCCACAAGTACTGCAATATGCACCTTCCCAGCATGCAAGTACCACCCGCGTCAGCTTCGATTTATTTGGGTGTCCAAGAACTCACACGTTCTCATGGCCGCATGCCAAATCAGCATGAATGGGCATCACTTGATGCGTGAGCAGGTAGGCACGCGTGCAAACGGTGTAGCTTTGAAGGCTGATGCCTGGGACCCTAAACCCTCAACCCTAAACCCTAAACTCAAGGCCCTAGTACCCCTAACTCCAGACAGGTGCAGCACTCGGGTGGCGGCCGGCTGATGGCCCAGCCGGCATGTCTGGGCAGTACATCTCCTGCTTTTTTAGTGCGGTAATGTCTTTTTCTTTACGAATGTCCATGGAGACGCCAAGACCTCGCCCTTCGCTTATCTAGCAACATCCAGCTCAGAAAAAAGAAAGTCTCTGGTGCTATCAGAACATCCCGTTAGGTTTGCTGCTCCCTTCTAAAAAGCATACAATCGATTTCGCTGCCGTCTTCGCCCTTCTGCCAACCGGATTCTGCGCCGTGTGCCAGGTTGACGGGATACAGGTGTCCGAGAACCAGGCACCTGCTGACCTTGGGGGCCTTTAGCAGGCTTCTTCAGCGCTAAGCATAATTTAGCGGCCTTCATAATTGGAACAGGGTTTGGAGGGGTTATATAGTAGGTTCATAAAGGGATCCTAAGGGAATACCATTAGTAATTATTCCGACCCCTGTATTACATGTCGTGGTTTGGGGTTTGAGGGGTTTAGGGATGCGCTAGGCTAAAGAGGCTTTCACCACGTTAGCTGCGTCTCAAGACCCCTCAACTAAGGGACCGCCCAGTTTAAAGGAAGGATCTTGAAATAGTGCGCGTTTCTTGCCTTAGTTAAGGTGGGAGTCTTGGGCCCCAAGGTCACGGCGGAACAGTAGAGCCAGAGAGTCGCGCATCAAAGCCTTACAAACTGTGCAAGGCCGCCGCGTTGTACAACGGTGCGCGCATCATCTTCGGCCGGTCCCTGGCATTTCGCCTCGTACCGCACCGGCATGTTGAGATGGCTGACTAAGCCCTTGGGGATATGCCATACTCTATCTTGTTGGGATAGTGAGGATCCTATTTAGGAATATGGGCGAAATTAGGGGTACCTTTTTTGGGGTCCTGTTTTTAAGGGAATCCTACTATTTTTGGGTCTGTATGAAGGGGCCCCTTATTATCGTAAACCCCTATAAATTCTGAGTTTCCAGGATCATTGTTCTCTTTTCCCCCTAGTTCTGGGTTTTGGAGTTACTATACTCAAATGCCTGTGTTTGGTTCTGGGCTCCTGCAATAGCTACTTATACCTAGAAGGTATAAACTTTCTTTCAAGGGGTCTGCTCCAATGTAGGGAGGTTGGAGGCCAGGGAGCAGGGACGGAAAGATGCTTATATCGAAGCTCCACCTCCCTGCAAGGACACGCTGCTATCCACAGAAGGGTTTACGGTTTGGGGTTTCGGGTTTCGGGTTTAAGGTTGAAGGTTTAGGGTGGCATTCTGTACCCAGGGACTCCAATACCCCTTGAATTAAGGAAAATACCCCTTAATGAAGGACTATTCCTTTCAAATATCAGAGGGTTCCTTACATGGTTTAAAGAATATTCCTTTAAAGAAAAGAGGCTTCCTTATATGGTTTTAGGAATATTCCTTAAACATAAGGCGTATTGGGTCTCTGTTTAGGAAATTGGGGTTTAGGGCTTAGGGTTTACCTAAGCCAGGTGATCCCCTTAGCTTCCCAAAGCGGCGGCCGCGGCCTCGAAGACGAGGACTCCAACGCAGCGCGGGAGTAGGGTTTGGGGTTTTGGGTTTTGGGTTTAGAATTTAGAATTTAGGGGCCCCCTTGAAAAGAAACTTAGCCCCATGATCTGTGCTGCTGCCTCGCTGGGGCGAACCCTGCAACGTGTCATACTTTCCCGGATCTTCTTCCCCAATGGGCCAACCTTGATCACTACATCACTATTTAAGGGATTTAAACGGGGGGGACCCTTGTGAGGCACCCTTTGGGGTAATGTGGGGGGCTACTGAAGTATATAGGGACTACAGAAGGGTGTATATACATATACATATACAGTATACATATACATATACACATACACATATACACATATATACATATATACATATATACATATATACATATATACATATATACATATATACATATATACATATATACATATATACATATATACATATATACATATATATGTATGTATATATAGGGGCTTTGTATCCCTAATGATGCTGTCGAAGAGGACGACTGGATGAATCAGCGAGCTGCCGGCTGCTCGAAATGCGCAAGCATTCTCCCATGCTTGGAGGTTCATGGGTACTTATAACCCCAGGGTTTAGGGTTTGGCGTTTAGGGTGTAGGGTTTAGGGTCATAGCCCCAATTATAAGTCTACTTCTGACCTACTTTGGGACTTAGGGGGCTTATAAATACAGTTTTAATTCGGGTTATAAGTACCCTGAACCTCCAAGTGCTCACAGCAAGCCGATGCTAAGCACAAAACACCTGTGTGAAGATGTTTGGGCGGGTTCGGGTTTGGCGTTTAGGGCTTAGAGCATGTCAGGGTAATTTTAGGGTTTAGGGTTTAGGGTCTAGGGTTTAGGTATTTGAGGGTCCGGGCTCAGGCAGCACCGCAGAGCCCCTTCCCAGCCTGCGACGGCGACGCTCTGCAACGTCTGCGACTGCTCGGTACCCAGTGCATGAAGTGTCTTTCGGTAAAGAAGCCCCCAAACAAGGGGTTCCCCCGGACCCCTAATTGTGGAAATCCCCACATACAGCCTCGCTGTATTTTCCCAGCGCAGCTGACGTTGCAGCGGGTTCAGGGTTTAGGCGTTAGGGTTTAGGCTTTAGGCTTTAGGCTTTAGGGACAAGGAATCAGGTGTCACCCCAGTGAATCTACATGGGGGGAGATTTTCAGTGTGACAGGGGCCGTTTTGTGGGGGCCTCCTTACAAGAGCCAAATTTAGGGAACCCACCACATGAATTCTTCAGAGGCTCAAAGGCTACCCCAGATGTATTTAAACGCGGGGGTCACAGCCCCGAAATGGGTATTATTTCCCAGGGGTACCCCACACAGACCCCCAAGAATCCCCGTGCTAAGGAAGACAAGAAGACAAGAAACAAGAGCATTTCCCACAATAGCGGTACCCTTACCCCAGCATAGTCGCTAGAATCCAGAAGAAGGATATCCCTATTTTCAGAAGCCCCATATGCACCCTAAAATTTGAGAAACGCCAGATGGCCTGAAAGGCTAGGCTCTTGCCTCCCTCGCACAGAGGGCTGCTCCTCAGCTTGAAGGAAGGTACTTCTTATGCCCCCCCCCCCGCTCGTCTGCGCAATATACACTTCAAGGAACTACAATCTAGGGTAGCTCGTGCACAACCCTAAACCCTAAACTCCAAACTCGAAACCCTGAACTCCTTGTTTTCGGAGTTCTGCTTTTGCCTCTGGTCCAAGGTTGGTTGAGACTTCCGTGATGCCGGTACTGGGCGAGACGGAGCCCTGTCCTTGCGGGGGCCGGGGCGTGTGACACACAAGCCTCATCACCCTATGTATGCAATATATATATATATACACATATATGTATGTATGTATGTATGTATGTATGTATGTATGTATGTATGTAGGTATGTAGGTAGGTAGGTTATATATATATATATATATATATATAAGTTTGTCTGTGTGTGTGTGTCTATCAGCATGCCCTTGAAGGAGTTGCATGCAGGGTACCTGTTTCCATAACTCCCTATGAAGAATCGCCAGTAAAAAAGCAACCGTGCAACGCAAAATTGAGTCGATCAGAGCTCGTCTATGGTCTTTCGACGTACCGCTCTTAGCAAAGAACTGGAAGCCTTCACACCCCCCTCAGGGTACCTAGTTCCCTATTTCCCTACTAAGAACTGAGAAGCTGACTTAGGTGCGCTGAGATAATGCGAAGAGCAGGCGAGGTGCACAATGACGTTGACGAGGTGCCGCTGCATCACCGGCAAAATCACGTCGTTCGGATTGTCCCCTCAACAAGATCCCTAAACCCCAAACCCGTAACCCTTCCTTGGGTTTCAGAGGATCTGACTTAGGAAGGTCCCGCCAGAGGCCGCAGTAAATGGGCCGATGATCCCTCCCATCCGCCACGACTTCGGAGGCGGACCACCTTTACTCACCAGCCCCTAAACCCTAAACCCCTAAACCCTACTGAACAAAGACTTGCCCTAGCGATGGGCCAGGCCAATGAGCTCCTGAAGGAGATCGAGTCCCCGCCCCTCCAGGCGTGCGACACCATGCTCACAGAATTGCCACCAGAATGCAACGCCCTAACAAACGAACTCGTTTGATGAACTTCTTGCTGGTTAAACATACTTCTACTCCAGTTGCCAAAGGTATCTTACGAGCAGCAGCGACAGAGCAGTTTTGGACAACGCCTCTGCAAGATAGCAGGTGGAACTGGTTCAGGCGGTGTTCTTCTTTGCACCTGCAGTTTTGGGTTTCGGGGTTAGGGTTTAGGGTTTCGAGGGTGTACCCTCGTTCTTTCGCCTGCAAGCAAGAAAACCACATGGAGAATGAGATCCAAGTCACCCTGAACCCTGCGTCCTTCAATGAAAACGGCAGGGTCAAGTCTGGGAAAGCGAAACCCACGAAGCCCATCTTATTAGTACACCCTAAACCCTAAACCCTAAACCCTAAACCCTAAACCCTAAACCCTAAACCCTAAACCCTAAACCCAACGAAGCCCATGGAAAGGTTCTGGAGGTCGGCTTGCTTCTGCGGGCACCACCGGAGCGCCCAAGCTCGGCGAACTTCTCAGACCAGGGAAGTTCCCCTTCGGTTTTGGGGTTTAGGGTTTAGGCTTTAGGGTTTAGGGTCTGGGTTTAGGGTTTAGGGTTTAGGGTTAGGGGTTGCAGGGCTTGAACACAAAGCTTATCTTACCCCAAACCCTAAACCCTAAAACAGTCCATCTGTTCTCGCACCAAGACCAGCGGCAGCGACTGCACCCCGGCGTCCCGAAGTAATCGGCGGCCCCAGCTTGCGTGGGCCTCGAAACCTGGGTTCCTTGGAGGTTCATTTGGATCGTTGTAAGTAGAGTTTAGGGTGTAGGCGGTGTAGACTTCTTATTCTGGTAGCCATACATGTAGTGCTATTTTGATTGCTTATAAGCCTACTTTCAACTTACAATGAACCTCTCAGTTCCCAATATTGAGTTAAAGAGGATCCTACTTCGGAAGTTTTTGTAGTAGATTTCAAGGACCAACCTGGGAAAGAAGTCGAAGCGTTTTTCGCGTAGCCGCGGCGACATGTGGAACGTACCATGTTGTGCAAGGCTACTGTAGCGGACCTCTTCCGAGCATGAACCACAGATGTCGCAGCCTTTTGCATTCCGTCCGTCGTGACAGCATGCCTGGGTGCAGTGCATTTCAAGCAGCGGATTTCAAGCCAAAGGAAGACCACAAGGCATTCAACTCCCGTCTGCAGAGTCTGCAGTTGTCAGAAGCTGCTGCCAAGTCAGCTTGAGATCCCCCTGCTGAGGTCGTGCACTGCTCGCGGATGGGAGATGGCATCACTGCCACATTGACGTTGGACACAGAAGTTGAAGGTACAATGCTTTCGGATGGAGTACATAGTTTTTGTACTATGGCGAAAACTACTTATTCGTGCAGCTAACATGACTCTAATCGTTGTCATGATTATCAAATTTCGCCACCTCCCCAACACAGTAAAGTGAGGCTTTCTCGTTTGCATGCCGACCGCAGGGGGCTTTGCCTCAGATTGCATGAAGCTGGATTGATTGATATATACATACATACATATGTATATGTATATATATATATACACATATCTACATACATACAAGTAAATATAGTCCGCTGAGGCTTTGTTTGTGTTCTAGCTGTCCGGCCGAAGTGCCTGATTTGTTGCCAGGTGAGCTGCTGTGCGTGGTGGCCCCTGCACAGATTGCTTGCTGACTTTTCATTGACAGTGGGTCAGCATTGCGCAGAGCCTTACGTAGGCATCTTCAAGAAAACATCACTAAAGGTATATGAAAATGTCCCACGTTCCCTAAAAGCTAACCGCTAGACCACTCGATGCCTCACCCAGTGTTTTTGTGAGGTTTGGCCAATTCCCCGCTTTTACCAGCACTTGGAGGAGCTGTGCGGAGCCCGGCCACCTCCACTCTCCAGTGCACAGCAGCACGCGCGCAGGGGGATTTTTGCGCGACAGAGACATGGAAACCTACAGGTGCACATGTGCACACTTGTTGCCATACCGCTACCCGAAACCCTAAACCCTAAACCCTAAACCCTACGCTCAAGGCGAGATCACTATCAGCAGCGGTGTGATCAAAAGCGTGCAGATCCTCAGAGCTTCAGTGATCGCTGGCGAGAGCAAGAGTCGTCACCTCTAACGAGGCTGCAGCAAAATCTCTTAAACCCTAAACCCTAAACCCCTAACCCCTAAAGACCCTAAACCCCTAAAAACCTCAAAAAACCCTAAACCCTAAATCCCTAAACCCTAAACCCCTAAACCCTAAGCCCCTAAAAAACCCTAAACCCTAAGGACTGCCACCACTAGCTCTTTGAATTTGGCTATCAAGGCCTCGGCTTGCCGCTGGACGCCCACAGGGGCGTGTCCATGGCATGGGAGGCGGCCCAAGGGAAGGGTTTAGGGTTTAGGGGTTTAGGCGTTTAGGCGTTTAGGGGTTTAGGGGTTTAGGGGTTTAGGCATTTAGAGAGTCCTCATGTTTGTACCATTCAGGTCTTAGAAGGCCCTTGAAAACTATGCAACGTCCATGCGCCCGGAGGATGCTGTGTCATCCCCCACGCGCCTGCAGCCGCAGAGGTCGCAGCTCAAAGCCTCTTCGGGTTTAGGGTTTAGGGTTTGAATTGGGGTTGGGGTTTAGGGTTTAGGGTTTAGGGTTTTGGTTTTAGGGTTTAGGGTTTAGGGGTACTCATGTGTGCTGACACAGGGGTGTCATTTGGAGAGTGCGCTTGTCCCATTCCCACGCACATGACTACTTGGAGGTTCATGGGTAGCTATGAGTAGGGCTATAAGTACCTAGATATGAGGTAGTTACCAGAATGTTCACCCTAATTGTACCTACCCATGAGCCTCCAAGCACACCCGAAGGCAGTCTGAGAATGACGACGGCTCTTCCGATGAGTCAGATGCTGCTGACTAGCCATTCTAGGCACGGCACTCACGCCATTGGCAGCTGCAAAACGGGAAAAGCACCGACTGCATGCCACACAGTCACAGTTAGGGGTTGCTTCAGTCGTCGTTGTTTCTTGTGGCTTCAGAGCCGTGCACTGGGCTTAGGGCTTAGGGTTTCTAGGGTTTGGGGCTTTGTGGTGTCTGTCCAACCGGCAACAGATGAGCCTTTCCCAAAATGGGGAGTGCCCCTCAAGACACCCCAGAGTACTCTGATCCTCTTCAATGGACACCCCCCCCCCCAAAAAAAAAAAAAAAGTAGAAAGGGCACCAACCCTAAACCCTGAATTCACGGTGCTTGTGCTGCGGAAGCTGTGGAAGCTCCCTAAACCCCAAACCCTAAGCCCCAAACCCCAAACTCCAAACCCATGCTCTGGGCTCAAGGGGACTCCGAAGTCAGGGTCCCTGAGACTTCCTGGGCCTGAATTGGCCGATTTAAGGTGGGGTGAGGGTTTAGGGTTAGGGTTTAGGCCCTAAGACCCCAAGAGAGATGAAACTCCCCCAAGAGCCCTTGACGAAAGACGCACTCTCACATGCCCAGCCGGAGCATAGCTGAAGAGGGGCTCTGCGTTGGTAGAGCTCCTGGGTTAAGCGTTTGGGAGAAGAGAGCTCAGGGTCAAGGTGCCCAGGATTACCTGTTGCCATGTGCTGTCCGTCGACGAAACTTCCATCTCCGCTGCAGCTCCTTGCGAAATCCTTGGCTGAGAATGCTGAGGCTGGGCACAGCATTCCAGTCGACACCCCCAAACCCTAAACCCCAAACCTTGTGGTCTTCCCTTGCACCCAGAGCACGCCCAAGCTGCAGGATGGGCCCAAGGCCCCAAAGCTTCTTTTTTGACGGGTCTTCCTCATAAGTAAACCACTTAAAGGCACATTTTTTATGAGGTTCCAATGCTCTTCCCCATGTACACCGTTGCCGCAGACTTGTTGCTGAAGATGACGAAGGTCGAGCCGCATGAAGTTCTGAATGGAGAGAAAAGATAAACACTCGCACCCCAAAGCCCTAAACCCCATCCTCCCCTGATGAACCCTCCCCCAAAGCCAGATCTCAGAAAGTCTCTTCTGGCACGAGAGAGCTCTTGAAAGTTAGGGAAGTTACATGGCCCCTTAACATGGTCCCCAAGGAGCCCAATACCCCTTAACTGAGAAATATTCCCTTAAACCATACTAAGGATCCCCATATGGTTTAAGGACTATTGCTTAACTAAGGGGTCTTGGGCTCTCTGGGTCCCTTGTCTTCTTTCAAAGGGTTCTAAAGTGTGGGCTGTTGGGTTTTACAGGGTGCCCTAAACCCTAAACCCTAAACCCTAAACCGGGGGTTAAGCAGCCTTGGCCTCTGTGAGGTCAATCGCAGGACGGCTTGACTGCGAATTCGCCGGCTTCCCAAGCCGATTTAGGGTTTAGGGTTTTGGGTTTTGGGATGTGAAGGCTCAGCCCAAAGACTCCAACATTCCTTTGTTCAGGAATAGGGTGGTTTCCGAAATTAAGGGTACTGTATTGGGGTCCTTATTTATAAGGGAATCCGGGTATCCCCTATCTTCGTAAACCCCCATATTCCTTAAACTGTAGAAGGGCCCTAGTCGCGATGCAGGGTGCCACAAACACAGGGCAATGCGAACAGACAGCGTGCAAATAGGCAGAAGTTTCGCGACAACCGGATGGCTCCGATTGCAAGGCGGGTGAACGGTGATGGAAAGTATGTGTCGATGTTTTTTACATTCATGAATAAAATCATAGCATTTCCATATATAAATAATAGCATTTCCATATATATATATGTATGTATATATATATATATTGTTGCTAACACCTTCATTCCAACTGTTAGTTTTTACCGGTTCAAGATGAAATGATAGTGAAAATGTATTTCTAATATAAATGGTTTTATCTAAACATGATATTCTGAAAACGAAAACATACAATTTGTTTTCAATACTGTTGCAAAATTTAATTTCATAGAATTTGTTTGCTTTATTATATATATATTTATTTATATTTATATATTTATTTATTTATGTGTAGAAAATATACAGTTTTACATAGTATTACAACACTAACAAAGTGAAAAATGTGCAGAATGTTCTCTTCATTGTATTTTGACTTTTAACGTAGCCATTTTGGCTCAAGCTGGTGCAGGGTTCACGGTTGGGCCCACTCGTGGGTGGGGTACTGGAGGAAGGAGGCCTTCAGACTGGAGAAGGGTGGGAGGAAATTCTCCATCTTGGAGGAGTCCCTCTGGCCGGTCACCACCACCACCCGATACTTGAAACTGTGCCAAAAAGACCAGTTCAAGCAACAATACTTCCACCTTCAACTCAAGCAGGACCTGGCAGGCAGATAGAAAACCGAATGGAACTGTTGCCAATACAAATTCCTGCACGGAGGCTTCGAAATGACGACATGACGAAACCACGCATTCCGGCAAAGAGGTCTGAACGCAGGGGAGGTTGACTGATCGTTTGGCTTGCGTGTTTGGGCGAAACCAAAGTCCACGTAATACACCCTGTGACACCCTGTGAACGCCGAACCCTGAACCCTACCCCACAGAAGCTTGCAAGGTGGGCCAACTCGCACTCCCCGATGACTCGGCTTGTCAGCGCACGCTTGAGCTTTCGAATGCAGCAGCATGGAGCACCCTAGCAGCCTAAGGCGCCACAGCAGCACAGAGCACCGCTTTAAGCTAGTGACAGACACAAGCAAGCAAACCTCAATTTAGGGCTTCAACCCCAAAACCCTAAACCCTAGACTCCCCATAAACACTAGACTTCCCAGTAAGACACACCCCTAAACCCCAAACCCAAAACGCTAGAGTTTGCGATTCGCCCGAAGCTTCAACCCCGAAGTCCCTGAACTTGGACAAGCTGCCCTCCATAGCGCCCCAGACCAGGAGTTGAGAGCCATGGAGGGCGGCGATGACCACTGGCTGGTGCACTGGCAGGCGCCGTCAAGTGGCACTTCCCCTAAGTCAAACCACCACGTCCCACAATTATTAGGGTTGAGGGTTATGCAGAGTTCAGGGTTTCGGGCTTAGGTTAACAGCTGGCCTGCGTCCGGACTTTTGGGGTTCTTCAGGGTTTGGGGTGGCACGCAGGTGCTCATCCGACGGCGCGCCCTCGAGGCGCAGAAGGGGTAAGTGTTTGGTTCTGCCATTCAAGGCCGACAGGGTGGCTGTCCTCGGGGGTTGAGGCGATGAGTAGAAGCACGGCGCCACGTAAGGGGTTCGGAATTTTGAGCTCAGGGGTTGAAAGGTTTCGGGGTCCGTGGGTTTCGTGCATGAACGGTTGGGAGCCGTGTTCACGAAATTACTTTCTAGGCGTTGGATTACCCGAAGCAATGCACATCAAAGCGCTCTTGCGTAGTGTGGTTGCGCAGCCAGGCCGAGCAGCGATATGCTGCGGAGAGCTGCGCGAGAGGAGGCCGCAATCGTCATTGAGTGTTCCATGCTGCCCATGCTGTGTTTGTGACGTCGACATGTTGAGCTTTTTCAAGAGAAGCTTCTGCTTGCCCTTCATCTATGGTACTGATATACAGCGCGTCAGGGCCTGCAGAAGCATAAGCTGCCCACACCTTCAGTCAAGCCATAACAACCTCAAGAAGCCACTTTCTGGATCATAAGTGCACAGTCTGCAGAGCAACTCACCCTTCCTCCGCCCCTCCGGTCTCACGTGGCAGGCCCCTGTCCTCACAACCCAAGACTGGACCTGAACCCGAACGCAGGCCCTCCTTCTGATTCGGGGAAGCCGGAAGCGGCGACCCGAATCGCCAACGGGGCCTCGCCTCCCGCAGAGGGCCCTGAGGGGGAGGCCGGGTCTCCCATTTCTATGCTGAGATGCCTTCGAGCACAGAGTTTTCAAAACAAAAATCTGCATTAAGAGTAAGTCTGAAATGTTATGAAAACTATGTTTCGATGTTTTTCACATTCATGAATAAATACTAACACTTCCATAGATATAGATATATGTGTTAACACCCTCTTTCCAACTGTTAGCTTTTACCGGCTCAAGATGAAATGATATATAAACCAAATAATGAAAAAAGGTGTTTCTGATATAAACAGTTTCTTCTAAACATGAGATTCTGAAAAACGAAGCCATACAATTTGTTTTCAAAATTGCTGCAAAATATAATTCTATAGATCTTTCATAATATTAGACACATATAAAGAAATATATACATATATATATATGTGTGTGTGTAGGATAGAATATACCGTTTTTAATTAATAATACAACACATACAAGGTTGAAAATAAGCAGAATGTTCTCTTCTTTGTATTTTTGACGTTTAACGTGGCCATTCTGGAAGAATCGGAGAGGGTCAAGCCCTGGGCGCAGGGTTCACGGTTGGGCCCGCTCCAGGGGGAAAGAGAGTTTTTGCTTTTTCTTTTGGGTGGGCTGTGTCTTTTTTGGTTGTGAGGCGTGCCCCTTTATAAGTTTTTGACGTGCTCAGGACTCAATCCAAATGAAGGCCGTAGACAACGCCAGTTCATGACAGATCGATGGTGTCTTTTTTCTATGGGCAGCGGCAAAAGCAAGAATGTATGGACTTTTCACAGAAGTCATCCATGGCAAGCCGACGGCACAGCGCTGTGTCCCCCTTTTGCAGATTGCTGCCCAGCAGGACGCCAAGGCCCGACGGGTGTTCTCGAAGCTTCTCTTCCCTGGGTGTCGGCATGCAACTCAGACCTCGGGGATCTCCAGACATCTCAGCATCACCGCTGTGCAACCCAAGAGACTGCACGCGTCTCGGGCATAGCCGGCATAGCCATGACGATTGAAATCCCTGACGATGAGAAGCTTCATGTCCTTCTAGCCCCAGATCAAAGAAACTAGGCAGATGACCTATCTGTAGCTTGTCTTTTTTAAGCCAAACTGCGGCATCCTGCAAGAGCACAGCAGCACCCTTCGGGCGTCTCCTGCATGCCTGAGGGAAGGAAGGTGCGCGGCCTCGGACTGGCCTCTGACTGGCCCC